GCAACCTAAGAAAATATCTTTGTCCAATCATCTTTAATACTTCATCCACTTTGCTAATCTTTACAACTCTCTTTCCTCACTAGCCCCAAAACAAAACTTTTGGTAGCTCTCCAACCAAAGAACGAAAATTCTTATCAACTCCTCGAAACAATAACTCTTAAGAAAAAAAGTTGAAGTCTAGTCTCATACATTAATCCAAAATTCTTTTATCCCAACCAAGTATTCTCCTTCCTTAAATAGTCAATAAAACTAAACAAATCCAAAATATTGTCCTTTATCCATCTTACTGACCAATATAATTCAACTTCTCTCTAGCTGCAATTACTCTAAATCTTTTATTCTAGAGCTTCCATTGTTTAAAATTTCATCAAACGTCTTTGTATCATCCCAAATTGTTTATTTTAGACTTATGAGTTTCTCCACCACTTGTCCAAAAACATGTAACACTTAAAATTATATACCAATGAATCTCCAACTTGAACAAACTTCGTGTACAAGAAAAATCAACAACTACAAAAACGAAATGAGATTAGTTCACCAATGCCTTAACTTTTCACACAAACCTAGAACATTTCCAAACTTCTTTATGTCATCTTACTCCAAAATAAACTTTTCAAATAATTCTTCAATTTTCACTTTTGACCTTCTCGTGTTAACCTTCAAAGCAAATCTTTCTTTGGTTCTAAGAAAGTATCTTCGTCTCATCATCTTAATACTTTATCCACTTACCCTAAAACAAACCTTATTTCTCGATAGTTCAATCATCATTATCTTCAATCCAATGAATGACCAGAACTTTTTAAACAAAAAGCTGAAGTCTAGGCATAATTCAATCCAAAATTCCTTTGTTGTAGAAAATCTTTCTTCCTCCTTCAATTCATAACCATTAAACTCAACGAATCCAAGTGATTATCCATTGTCCATCTTATTGACAAATACAATCCAACTATTCTTTACAACCAATAGCCCTAATATAATTTCTTCTAGTGCTTCCATTATTTCAACTTCTCTCAAACATCTTTTCACCACCACATTCTTCCATTCTTCTAGTGCTTCCATTCTTCAACTGTTCTTTTTAGACACATAACTTTCCCTACCACATGTCCAAAAACTTGCAATCATATACCAACAATCCCAAATTGAACAATCTTTGTGTTCAAGAAAAATCTTCAACTATGACGACCAAATGGGAGTGATTCTCAAATGTATCAACTTTCCATATGAATCTAGACTGTTTCCAAACTTTTTATGACAAATGTCATCATATTCCAAAACAAACTTTTCCGAGAATTCTTCGCATTTCCGTTTTAATATGTCTATACCAATACATAGTCCCCCACTACTCTAGATGTGTCTTTTTCCTCTTCATGTAAATTTAATCTCTCTATTGTTATCTTTCCATTTAATATTTTCAAGGCAAACCATTAGTGATTCTCTGAAAGTATCTTTGTTCCATTATCATAATAGTTTATCCTCTTTGCCAATCTTTACAACCTTTTGTGCTCACTCACACCCTAAATCATACTTTAGTACCTGGTAGTTCAATTATTCCATTATCATAATAGTTTATCCTCTTCACCAATCTTTACAACCTTGTGTGCTCACTCATGCCCTAAATCATACTTTAGTACCCGGTAGTTCAATTATTATATCCAAACCAAATAACAAAAATTCTTATCCTAAATTATTTTTCTCGACAAAGTATCTTTCTCCCTCTTTCAATAAATCGAAAATATTTGTCTTTATCCATCATAATGATCAACACAATCCAACTTTCCTTTGGAAACAATAGCTGTAATATCTTTTATTAAAGTGCTTTCAAGGTTTAAGGTATCCTCCTCTTTTTCACCGTCCTTTAATTGTCCCTTTAGACTTAAAAAATTTCTCCGCCGCTAGAACATAGTTCTGTAAAACTAAAAATCATTTACCAAGATTTGAATAACCTTCGTGTCCAAGCAAAATCCTCAACTACAATGATCAAATAGTAGCGATTCACAATTATCTTAACTTTTTCCAAAAGCCTAGAACATCATCAAGCATTCATTGCATATGTCATCTCATTCAAAAAGTAACTTTTCTCCCTTCTTCAATTTAAATTCGTTTATTCCAATATATAGTCCTCCCACCACAATACATGTAGCCTTTTCAACTTTAAGTACATTATCTTTAATATGTTATCTTTCCATTTCACTCTTCAATTAAAAATATCAATGATTCTAAGACAGTGCTTTGTCCAACCATCTTATAACTTCATCCAATTTGCCAATCTTTACAACCATTGACTTCACTATACTTAACAAACAGCATTAATCCAATTAACAAAAGTTCTTATCCTCTTCTCAAAACAAGAACTATTTACAAGAAGTTATGGTCTCACCTCATTCTTTAATCCAAAATTTTTTTATATCAATATAGTATCTTTCTCCCTCCTTAAATGCAAGACAAAAAAAATATCAACGATTCTAAGACAGTGCCTTTGTCCAACCATCTTATAACTTCATCCACTTTGCCAATCTTTACAACCATTCAATTCACTGTCCTCTTTAACAAACAGCATTTTGTCCAATCCAATTAACAAAAGTTCTTATCCTCTTCTCAAAACAAAAACTATTTACAAAAAGTTGTAATCTCACCTCATTCTTTAATCCAAAATTCTTTTATATCAATATAGTATTATCTTTCTTCCTCCTTAAATGCAAGACAAAAAAATCATTATAAATCCAAGATTCCTTTATCCATCTTATTGTCTAATACACAACTCGACTTTTCTCTGGCAACAATAGCCCTAATATATTTTATTCAAGTACTTCCATTGGTTAAACTTAAAATTCCCTACAACCTATTTTGATCATCCCTTAATTATTCCTTTTAGACTTGTGAGCTTCTCCAACAATTATCCATAATTTTGTAAAGCTAATAATCATATACTAGTGGATCTCCAATTTGAAGAAATTTTGTGCCCAAGGGGAATCTTCAGCAGCACATGGAAGTGATTCACAATTGTCTCAACTTTCCCCACAAATCTAAAACATTTCCAAGCTTCCTACGGCCTATGCCATCTTATCCAAAAATCAACTTCTCCAAAAATCTTCATTCTTCAGTTTAATTTATATATTCCAATACATAGTCCTTCACAATTGTGGATCTCCAATTTGAAGAAATTTTGTGCCCAAGGAGAATCTTCAGCAGCAGATGGAAGTGGTTCACAATTGTCTCAACTTTCCCCACAAATCTAAAACATTTCCAAGCTTCCTACGGCCTATGCCATCTTATCCAAAAAAATCAATTTCTCTAAAAATCTTCATTCTTCAGTTTAATTTATATATTCCAATACATAGTCCTTCCATCATATTACATTTATCTTCTTCCTCCTTCCTCTTTAAGTACATTAATCACATATGTTATCTTATCATTTCATTCTTCAAATCAAAACAAAAGTATCTTTATCCAATCATCTTAATACTCACCAATCCTTACAACATTTTCTCCTCACTTGTCCCAAAGTAAACCTTAATACTTGGTATCTCAATCATTATATCCATTCTAAATAACAAAAATTATCTTCTCAAAATAACAACTCTAGAAAAAAGTTGTGGACTCATCTCATTCTTTAATCCTAAATTCCTTTATCCTTACCAAGTTTCTTTCTCCCTCCTTTAATGCCACCAAACTCTACAAATCTAAAATATTGTCCTTTTACCCATCTATTTATTGACCAATAAAATCCAACTTTTCACTGGTAACAATATCTCTGTTATCTATAGTTCAAGTGCTTCCCATGTTTAAAATTTCCTTGAACCTCTTTCCATCATTGCCCGGTTGTCCTTTTAGACTTATGAGTTTCTTCGCCACTTGTACAAAATTTTGTACAATATACCAATGGATAGCTAATTTAAATAAACTATGTCTAAGAAAAATTTTCAACTATGACGACTAAATGGAATTGATTAACAATTGTCTTAACTTTCGCCACATATCTAGAACATTTTCAAGCTTCTTATGCCATATGTTATCTTATTCCAGAATCAACTTCTCCGAGAAATCTTCGTTCTTTGGTTGAAAATTGTTTATTCCAATACATAGGCCTTCAACCACACTACATGTACTCTTTTCCTCTTTTAAGTACATAATATTTAATGTTATCAATTCATTTCATTCCATCGTCTAAAATATCAATGATTCTAGCTCCGTAACCCTACTACTATTTAATATTGTAGCATTTCCATCGTCTAAAATTCTCTCAAACCTTTTCTTGTCAATCCTTCAATCTTTCCTTCTAAACTTATCAAATAGCTTGAACCTAGGTAGCATCAGTATTATTACCTCTCCACCACTTGTCCACAAACTAACAATACTCGAAATAACATGTCAAATTTAAATTCTTGCCACATGATTGACCTTCCTTTTCCCTTGATGTGTTCCCCCATTTTATCTTCAGTTCCTTTAATAATTTTATACCTCCTTAAAACCACAAATGGTTTGTCAAAACCCACTGTAGCCTCCTACTTACTTGCGAATTCCTTTTGTCTTATAGAACAAAAACTCTTAAATTCCTCGTACAGTCATACATGTTATGTATCATTGTTGTTTCTAATGAAAAATAAAAATTAGGATTTAATGTTCTATTACTAACTCCCCAGAGCTGTTATAAATCCAAATATATTATTGCTTCACTTTTTATGTCCTTTACTCATGAACCTATATCAAATTTAAAATTCACAACAATCACATATTGTAATTTAATCTTTAAACTTTGAAAAAAAAAACATAATATCGGTAGCACAAAGAACATCAAAACAGAAAAGCAAAGATACAACTATTATAAATATCTTTATACTTTAAACTTTGGAACAAAAACATAATATCAGTACACAAAGAACATCAACACAGAAAAGCAAAGATACAACAAAAATTATACATTTATAAAGATTAAAAATAAAGATCATCAAATTTAAACAAAATATTGAAATATTTATAAAGCTTATGGTATGGGAAGCTACCTTATTAGGACACAACAATGCAAAAATGTTATTCAAGGGAGAACTAGGCCGCACACATCTTGGAATCCTCAGCGCAAAGAAACGGGAATTGCGGATTGCCTACATAAAAGGGAATGAATTATTATTATTATTATTTTTTTTTTTGAAGGAAAAAGGGAATGAATTATAAATGGACTGGAGAAATGAAAAACCCGTGAATTTGCTTTTTTTTTTTTAACGATAAATACATGAATTTACTTTCTTTAAAAAAAATTAAAAAAATACAAATACTTTCTCGCCGTTATTTTCAATCAATATACAGATAATAATATACATATTATTATCAAGATTTTGGCTAAAACGACAAATCTATAATTAATTTCACAATTGAAATAAATCAAACGCCATTGGTTATAAAATCTCACCAAAAAAATAATAAAAAAAATCCCGTTACTTAATTGCATGATCAAAATGGGAAACACTTCAAGATTTTTTGAAATTAATAGGTAGCCAATTAAGGTTCTAATTAAAAGCATAAAATAACAGCGTATATCTAGAGAGAGAGAGAATTACAGAGTTCGATTTCTTTCCCGTTTCTTCTCTCTGTCCCTCCCTGTTCCTCTCTGTCCCTTCCCCACCATTTACCAGTTCCAAATTTTCTATATCCATGTCTCTCCCCCAAGCTCCAAACGACCTTCCATGTCTCCAATCTTTCAAACCAACTCTCTCGATCTTCTCTGCTCCCCCTCTCTCTCTGGTACAGTTCTTTCTTATACGATTCCTCTGTTTCATAAAAGAAAATGCTCTGTTTTTAATTCTCCGTTTCCACAAAATCTGAGTTTCTCCTTATTTTGCGGCAATTGGAATTTCAATCAGTTTCTGAAGCATCGTCATCGATGGGGAAGAAAAACCAGTCAACCCCACATAAGCCACATGAAGATTTCTCTCTGAAGGAGATCTCCCCGGACGTCCATGGCGGAAAATCCTCAATCGGCCTCAATATCGCCTTCAGTCTCAAACAGATGCTATTTCTATATGGTGAAAGTCGAAAGAGCCGGAGCCTTGACGAAACCCTGCGAATATATCCTCCTTGAAAGTTCGATTCCCCAACTGCAGCATCCACAAGGAAATCAGAACAGACCATCGTCGAGAAGAAGATGATCGTACATGAACTCCGTGCCAAGAGCCAAGAAAGCCGTGTCTTCTAAACGAAGAGCGCCTAACAACAACAAGCACAAAACCATCAGAGCAATGAACCACAGCGAACGTACATAAACAAAACCCTAATCGTAATCAAGGAATTTCCAATCGAAATTTAACCATCCCCCTACAAAAGGCTGAATCGGAGTTGCATTACCTCGAATCAAGTGGGAGTTGCCTTCTTTCAATTCTGCTCTTTCTTGTCCTCCCAGTGCCTGCCAACGATCTAATCTAGGGTTTGGTTTCGTTCGTCGCCACTTGAAAGGACAGAGGCCGTTTCTGATAAAATATATATTGATGGAGCCAGTGACCGTTGAACCAATGCAAATGAAATGACAGCCAATAATCCGTTCAAAATCCGCGCCAAGCGATGGAGGTGGCGGGAACGCTTCTGACACAGAAGAGAGAGAAACTGAGAGACGACTGTTTGACCAAGTAACAGTTCGTTGAAGTGACGTCGTCATATTAACGGCTAATTCATTTATTGATCTCTCTTCTTCCGTAATTTCAGGGATCTTCCGATTTTTTCCATCAACGTTCTCTTTATTATGTTTAAAATACTAATTGGTCCAGTTAATTTCAACTTTTTGTTTGATTTTTATTTTAGTTAATATACTTTTAGAATATTGATATATTTTTTGAAAATACATATTTTAATTTCTATTAACAAAATTTTAACATCAATTCCAATTATATATTAAATTTAGTATCACGTTGAAATTATAATTGAAAAAATGAGTGTACAGAAACGAAAATGAACATACAAATACTAAAATGAATCAAATTTTGAAGTATGGTAATAAAAATAAACATTTTAATAATACAATGATTGAAATGGACTAAAATTGAAAAATACATAGATCGAAATATCTTTTTACCTAATTAATATAAAATTGTTTTTACGGAGATGAAAAGTATAATCTACCTATATAATATATTTTTTCCAATAAACTACATAAATTAATTCCTACAAACATATTATTTCAAAATATAAATGATCTCATAGATAAATAAATATGTATTGAAAATTTTATCAAGGAAACTTACATTTAAAAATTAATAATTAAATATATTGTACTACAAATAAAATAATAATATCGTGCACTAAGAACTACATTACTACAATTATTCATTCATGCGTCAAACAATATATGATGTCTATGGTACTTGAAATAAGAAGTATTTCGAAAAAACTCTACTCAAAGAATTAGTTCAATTGCTTAATACTAAAATATAAATTTATAATCTAAATTAAGATATATGTGAATAAAAATAATATAGCAATTTACACTTAGCTTATAAAATTTGGTAAAACATCTTTAGTTGAAAGATTCTTCCACTATTGTGAAATAAACAAGTGGGAGAAATAACGTCAATATGAATTTAGTTTTGCAGTAATTGAAACATGTTTATTTACCGTAGTTAATAAGATCATCAAATATTCTTGCATTATTAAATAGAAAAATTATAATACTTGCATTTAAAAATCCCATCAATGCCAGTTTTTTCGATTTTAATTATTACTAATTTGCTTGACAAATAAACCATTATAAGGGGGCTTTGAAAAATTAGAAATAATTTCAACGATTGACATGTTCGTGGATTAAATGAACAATAATTGACCTAATACAACATTTTAATCCTAATGCAGCGACAACATTAGAATTTGTAATCAAATTATTTTAATCCGAAAAAGCTTATAGGTAAGGTAACAATTGAATTTAATTTCAAATTTGTATATATATATATATATTTTTTTTTTTATCTAGAAAGAAAGTTTTTATAGTTTTTTTTTTGATAATTTTTTTTATTGGTTTGATGGATGCAAATAAAAAATATTTAATTGAAGTTTATAAAATATACTTAACTCTGCTTCACCACCGTTGAATGAAAAGAAGCCAAGTATTTTTGGAAGTTTATTATGATTTAATTTAGAATGGAAAAGCGGAAACAAACCAGTTGAAAGTATTATTATTATTATTATTATTATTATTAAGTACTAAAAAAATATTACTATTATTTTTTTCTAGAGAAGTATAAATAAAATGTACTTTCCCATTCTTCTTCCATTTTTCGAGGGGAAAAAATGAATCCCTCCCGTGAAGAAGAAAACCCCTCAAACTGCAAATGAAAATCATACAGTTTTACTGAAATGGAGAATACGGGAATTCTGAAGGAGTGGTTCGATCGAGTTGATTCGGAGAAATCTGGAAGCGTCACAGCTCCTCAGCTCCAGGTTAATCTTCTTTTTCTCCAAAGCTTTATCCTCTTCGTCTCATAATCTCATTCGTTGACAATTTTCCGGATTTCTCCATGATCAGAAAGCTCTGGCGGTTGGGAACCTCAATTTCCCCCTCTCAATTGTGCAGCAAATGATTAGGTTTTCATCCTTTCCTCTTCCTATGGTCTCTGTAAAGAATTTTCTGCTGATATTTGAAATTTTGTTTTGTTAGAATGTATGATTTCGATAGAAATGGGACAATGAGCTTCGAAGGTTAGTAAAAAGTATTTAGACATGCGGCTTTTGTTTTTTTATTTTGAGTTTTAGAAGCGGTATCGATTTTCACGAGTTTCTATCCATGCTTTGTCACCAAAAATTTGGTAATCTCGCTGATGTTGTGATTGTAATGCATTTTTCTCAGAGTTTGTAGCTCTCAACAAGTTTCTCCTTAAGGTCTGTATTTCAGCTAACCTTTCTCCAAGACACTGTTCAAGTACTGATTCTATCTACTATTGAATTTTAATTTAATATTTGGATGAATACAAGAACTCAAATTGAATTGCAGTATCTACTCGTCCTTCTATCTTCTGATTGCTTTTTAATTTCTTTTTCAGCTTCAGCAAGCCTTCTCTGACTTGGAAAGGTGATTCAGAATTTTCCTTCAATAACTTTGATGTTATATGTTTTATTAGAAATTATAGTTGTGAATTGCTTGGAATTTATAAATAATTTGGAACCATTAGTCATACGACAGAGGCTGCTCCATATATTGCCAGTTACATCCCATATCTGTTGTTGGCTGAATATTTTATACCATATAGAATTCTTACTAAATTAGCCAGAACGACTAGTTGCAGCTGAATTAAACTTGGAGCATTTGGTGTATATCTTTATGGTTCTAAAAACATCTTCTCTTTGTTTGTGTCACAGAGGTCGTGGTTTTCTAGTCCCAAATGATGTATATGAGGTATGTACTTGGTTTAAGTTTTATTTTTAATATATCTATTCGGATCAGTTTGGAGAGAATAGTATTAACCGCTGAATATATTTTCCAGGCATTGGTTAAAATTGGCTACACGTTAGATTCTCCTGCTTTTTATACTGTCTGCGAGGTAAAACATATTTTCATTTCATCAATGACATAAAGAAAATTTAGTATTCTTAGTTCATCTCTATCATTGTCAAATTTTATGGGTCAAATCTTGTTTAACATGTTAGTTTGGTTGAGTGCTGAAGCTAACCAACCTGATTGCCAGAACCTTTTTATGCTATAAAGATGCTAAAATTAATTGTTCCACCTTTTGGATTTAGATTTGTCCTAGGCTGCTTGCTAAAGTTATGTGGCAGAGTCATCAAATATGGATGATTTCAAATATATAAATTTAGTGAAAATTGCACACGGGTATTGAATTATAAGATTATTTGCACTTGAAGACTGCCCCCCACCACACACACAAAAATGGAGAAGAAAGTTGCATTCAGTAAACCATTCTTCTTTTGTAATCTTCCATTAGGGATCCTTTTTTCCATCTCCAGTTTGTCTTTTTGGTTCTGACCCCTATCATGCTGTTAGGTGAAAGAAATGTTTATTTCTCTTGTAAAAAGAAAAGAAACATTGCTTTTCTTTATCTTCCATCACCATAGTGCTCTGTGAATGAATGTGTTTGGTTTTATCTGCTGATTCGAGAATTGGACGCATCTTTTCAGACATTCAGTAATGCAGGGTATATTGATTGTTAGTAGAATGAATGAGTATCTCATCTCTCTTAACTGCTATTGTTTTTCTACATATATTTGCAGAGCTTTGATCAGAAGAAGAATGGGAGATTTCGGCTAGATGATTTCATATCACTTTGTATATTTGTTCAATCAGCTGGGTAGGTTCCATTAGAAACAAATTTGTGCTTTTTCAAAAGGGATAAAGTTGTCCCCATTTATCTTCTAATGAAAAACGACTCTGTTAATTTGGTTGGGAGGAACCGTTTTTCCAATTTACTGGAAGGTTCGATACATTTCTTTCTTCAATTAATCTAATGTTCATCGTCTGTGCCAATCCTTGCAAAGCAAGATTATGCTTAGCCTCTTTTATTCGACTCAACAAGATCGCCATTAAATTTTAAAATTTAGTATGTGAGCTGATTTGCATTTGACCCGTGTCTTGAATCTTTATAGTACTTCCCTATTAGGTAGAAGTCTAACATTGTTTTTTCTAACTTCTTTGAAGTTTAATTATTTAATTCTCTGGTTGGTTGCAGGAATCTGTTTAATTCCTTTGATACAGCTAAACAAGGCAGGGTGACTCTAGATCTCAACCAATTTGTCTATTGCAGTAAGTACCTGAATTGGTATGACGCCATTTACTATCTTCTTTTTCCAGCATGTTTATGAATTCACTTTTCTCGTAGATTGGTGGTTGCTATTATTGATTTTCCAGAATGATTATGTGCTGTTTGTTTACGATTAAATTAGACGTACAAGGACACAAGGCAAAATAAAATAAATTGCCATGTCGTGTCGTCATTGACCGATACTAATAAATGTGTGAAGCCTCATTTCTGTCGGGAATTATTAGAGGAGGCCGCCAAAGTTAGCTGGTTGATTTACACCAATAAATGAGCTGGTTGATTTACACCAATAAATGTATGAGAAATTACAAATCGTATTTTGAATCAGATTTCAAATCTACATCCAACCATTGTCCTCACATTCTAGTGGCTTCATTCAATCATTTTTCACGAACTTGCCCAAATAGCCAGCCACATCATTGTAGCCTGAGAGCACTTCCAACTTGGAACTCCAAATATTCACTGTTCAATGTTTGCTCCTGTTTTTCACTTTCTTGCTGTCTAATTCTAAGCATCTGACTCGTAACTACTGATTTTTCACTTCCCTTTTCCTTGCACAGCTGCCAATTGTAGAATATGAAATTGTGTAAATATTTGGACAAAGGGGCTACTTCATGTTGCAGAAACTTCTTCCGCAGGATCTAGGATGATGTATGATCTGGAAGCTGATTTTTCCGTTGCATAATTAATACCTATTTTTTATGCTTTTCTATCTGTTTTATCCTGGGAAGGACTCGTGTCATTCGAAAACACTAGTATTTCATTTCTTTCTATAGTCTATATTTGTCTGTGTAGTTGTACTCCTCCTTCCATTAAGTTCGTATTTTGCCAGTAACTAACGACATGGTTTGAAAGTAAAATCTTCTACTGCCTTGATATAGAAAATTTACTCATCAATTTGCCCATTTCCAATCATCGTTCATTTTCCACTTATTATTGAAATGGCTCCTCTGGTTACCTATGAACATGCTGTTCACAGGGCGCCTCTCTCTCCCTCTGAAAATATGCCATTTTTTTCAATATTGTTTCTAAATTTATTTTCAAGATTTGTGATTAGATTTACTTGCAAAGGTTAAATGCAAGTGATACGTGAAAATATGCCATTTTAGAAACAATATTGAAAAACAAATAAGCTTTGAAAATCAGTCCCAAATTAGTTCCAAAAGGACATGTTTTCTGATGGTTTCAACTTTTAGATTCATTGTTTTCGCTTTCTATTTCTCAAAATCCAATCTCAAAAAGGAATTTGACGCCTTCAACCAACACTTTTCAAAACATCTCCTTGTCCACAATTTATAGGACAATTATAACAAAAGTTGGAAATAAATGTTTATTAAACCGAATCTGACCCTAGAACTTGAAGTTGCAGATTATTTGACAAAGAATTATGAATAAAATTAAAAACAAAAAAGAATAAATAAAAACAAAACCTGGGAGTTGTGCAGTCAGTCCAAAAGGGAAATGACAGCATCGACAACATCTTGGGTGGTGCAGTCTCCACCAAGATCCTTGGTCCTGCACTTGGCCTCCAAGATGACAGCTTTGACAGCATTCTCGAGTCTGTCAGCGAAGGAAGGGAACTGAAGGTGCCTCAGCATCATGGCCGATGACAGCAGCAAAGCCACCGGGTTTGCCTTCTTCTGCTCCACTATTTTCTCATTCCCCACGTTCCCTGCTGAAGCTCCTTGCTCAAATATCGCATGATCTGACCCCACATTCCCTGCAGTGCACATTATAATCACAATTTCAAAACATCTACCAAGGAATATATATCCAAAACTTCAATATTGATATCAAAGTGGATTGAAATATGAGTTTCCAAATGGAAATTTTTATGAGCTTGTTAATGGTTAGTATGGCAACATTTAAGCAAGTCAAATTCTAGAATAGGAAGCAATTTAAGGCTTAATTTTAAAAAACATACAACGAAAAACAAAAGGGTTAGGATCAAACATGACCTGAGTAATTTCAACTCAGTTAATAAAATGTATTTTGACGATATATCATCAATTTATAAGTTAATTTTAACCGTTTGTGACAACGAGGACTTAAATGTAAAAATCAATACATAAATAATGAAACTGAAACTCCAAAAAATTCGGGGACTAAATTGAAAAAAATACCCAAAAACAAGGGACTTAAGTATATATTTAGCCTAAAATATAACTAAGGAATTTTAAGTTATTTTAAAAATATAAAATGTTCATTAATTAATTCAAATAGTTTTTAGGAATTTTTTTATTTTCAGAAATTGTCTAGAATATCTGTGAACATTCCATTATTTTATTGACATTTTCATTATCTCTCAGTAAAATTGAGAACTTAGACATTTTACATGTTAGTTAGTGTAGAAATTTAAGTAAAATGGTAACAGCACCGATTACCACATAATGCATTTATCATCACAAATGCACGGACTTTAAAAGGCCATAGTGGATTATAATATTACCTCCTGGCATGAGACCAGTACCCCCAGCAATTCCAGCTGCAGTGTTGGCCACTAGATTGCCATAAAGGTTAGGAGTCACCTGCCCAAAGAATAAAAAGGCCTTGTTAGCAACATTTAAGCATAAAAAGGCATTGGGTTAAAAAATAACAAGCAAAATTTAAGCATCAAGGAAAAACGAAAAAGATGAATATTTAAGAAAGGAGAGTGAACTTATTCTGGGAAATCAAGAAAAAACATAGAGGTAAAGAAAGAAGTTAAGAAGCATAGACACTTCAATTTGGGAAACGTGTCTGTATAAGACACTTATTAGACACGTATCGGACATTAGTTAGCTCAATAGATGTGTGTCACACATTAGTTGTACAAAGTGAATATGATTTCAACGCTTGTTACAGGCATGTATCAAACACTTGTTAAGTATAAGAAATAGATATAAATAGTTAACATAGGACAAAATAATAAATTTTAAGAGCAAAATACATGAAACTCATTTTTGAAACTATGAAAATGCATAAACTTATTGACTTTGATTTACTACTTGTATAAAAATGATATATATTTAAAAAAATGGTATATTTTAATAAATGTGTCTTCGACGTTTTTGTGTCCTAGATTTTTAGAAAACAACGTGTCATCGTATCCGTATTGTGTATTTGTGTATTTGCTTCTTAAGAAATAAGCAAATAAATCAACAAGAAGCATTAAGCAAAACCTAGAGGAACATAATTGATACACCTATCCTTCAAGTATGCGTGGCTATATGTGCCCCCATTATTCGTCTTTCATTTCAAAGTAATATGATACGGCTACAAAAAGGGAGCCAAATTAATCTGCACAACTGAGCCACCAACATTTTTGCGTTTCTCTGTTCAAACAATGCCACTGCTAATTCTTTTCAGGAAGTTTGTTTAATTTTCCATCGTTCTCATCTTTCAGTACATAGAAGTTTGTTTACTTGGAACCATGCAACCATAAAAAAGCAATCAAGAGACTAGCAAGAGAACTAATATCCTCGATAATTTGCTTAGGGATTTTGACTCCAAGTTTCCTTCAAAACTAAGAAACGCTGTATGACCATATAAAATCAATCAAGAGAAGTGCCAGAGAATTAATATCCCCGGTAAGATGGCTGTAGAGATTTTCACTCAAAACCTCTCGGTTGAAACCAAGGTTCTTTTATAACCACCGTGGTGAGTCCTAGGGCTCCAATCACTTTAGATCGACATGCCTGGCATATCGAGGACTGGTTTATACACGCCATTTAAATTCATGTTCAAGAAAGTAATCTGCAGGCACTGTAAGCTTGAACCATATTGCCCCTTGATTCAAGTTCCAAAAGTATGAAGAAAGAAAACAGAGCTGAAGTATACAGTCTATATGAAGCTCATAACAATGAGAGGGCCACAGAAAATGGATATTGTTTTCATTCTAGCATGTGGTGGGAAAAAAGACAACAAAAAGAGAACCAAAAAAGAACCCTGAATGGAAAAATTATCAGCTTAGGAAGTTACGTACCATTACATCAAATTGCTCAGGTTTTGAAACAAGCTGCATACAACAGTTGTCAACAATAATCTCATTGTATTGGATACTAGGATATTGCGCTGCCACCTCCCTGCAAGACTCCAAAAACAGACCATCTGCAAGTTTCATAATGTTGGCTTTGTGCACCGCCGTCACTTTTTTTCTGTTGTTCAGATAAGCATACTCAAATGCATATTTGGCAATGCGTTCTGAGGAAAACTTTGTAATCACCTATCAGTAATTCAGGCTATATTTCAGGTTACTGCGTTGAAATGGGGACTAAGAAAAGCAGGTTTTGACTAGATTAAGAGTATGACCCCATTGAGCACAAGAGTTTATATATTTGCTTGAAATCTGCTCGGAATGGATTTCATTTACATTGACTAGAATACCGATATATGAAATTGATCTTATAACAGATAACCTACAAAAGACTAAACTAAACGACTAAAAAATTAATGTTAATGCGGCAGTTGTTTCATAGCTTTGTTTGTTTCGTTCATTTCAAGAGTGGTGATGTGCATAAGTTCATAACACTTAAAGAACGAAACAGAGAAAAATTCTCTCAATCAGAGGATCAGAAACAGAGCCATAAAACATAAAATTCTAAACTATATCAACAATCAATTATATCAACTCAAAACGGAGAGCGAAAAAAACCAGAAGATCACCAGACCAGACACATACAAAATTATATATTACCTTGAGGCTTTCGACGACGCCAGGGATGACCTCATGCTCGAGGCCAGAGTATTCGCCCTCCGTATTCTCCCTAATGACGACGATGTCGACATTCTCATGACGCGTCGGAAATCCAGGGAAATTGAAGCAATTAACAAGCGAGGCGTACAAGTCGAGCTCCTTCCTGAGCTGCACATTCAGTGAACTCACACCGCCGCCCATCGGAGTAATCAGCCCGCCTTTCAAACACACCTTATTCTTCAAAATAGACTCCATCACCTCTCGAGGAACCTGCTTCATATCGCCATGGACTTCGTAGCGCTCGAAGTAGACGGGAGCGTGCATTGCCTCCATCACTTGCTCGACCGCGTTGGTCACCAGAGGACCGATTCCGTCTCCGGGAATTAGAGTCACCTGACGCGGGGATCCCTCGCCGGGCCTCGGCATGTAGGTGACGGATCGGGTGTCGAACCGGAGAGGGAGGATGCGAGAACGGCTCCGGCAGGGGGAGGTGAGGTGGCGAATGATCGGAAAGGCACGACGGGCGGCCATAAGTAGGTGAAAGTGGAGCAGAGGACACGGAGATTTGTAGATGGAACAAGAGAGAGGCTAGGCGCTGGGGGAGAAGGTGCAGAGCAATGGAGGTTGCAGAAGAGCAGCCATGGAAGGAGGGAGGAGAAATTGGGAATGTCAATGACGAAGGCAGGAAATATATAGGTAATGATTTTCGGGGATTCTATTTTGGGAGCGTAACGTAACGGTGATTGACGAGACTTCCCAAATTCATATTTTAGGTTAAATCTTTTCAAATGTTTATTTTTTTCTTTTTACATTCTAATTTTGATTTGATTAAATATTGAATTTAACTTTACATAATTACATTACAAAATGTTATTTTTATTAAATATCGGTGAAATGGAGATTTAAATCTATAATTTAAGGTTGAGATACGAGGTTGACATAAAAAAAATTCATTTTCGTATTTGTTATTAATTTGTTTCCTTAAATTGTTTAATACAAAAGCGCCATGACATTTCTTGTTCTTTTGTTTGATGAATGAATATTTTGCTGCGGCCATCAGCATAATTCTAACTAATCAAACATTATGTGGAGCTTTGAACTTTTATTTTGTCTTTTTCTTTTTCTTAACCTGATAATATGTAAAGATGAAAATTCATTTTCTCGACCTTTTTAATTTTTTTATTTAAGTATAAAAAAATATGTAGATAAGAAATTGAACCATCCATCTCTAAGAAGCAAACAAAGTGTCTTAATTGCAATTTTACTATACTATATATATAAAAGCAAAATTGATATATAAATAAATAAATAAAGAAGTTCATATAGTTAATAATAAAAGCAAAATTGGAATTGCAATAGACTAATGTAATAATAATATAATCATATAGTTAATAATCTTTTAATTGGTAAAAAATTTCCTTTTTAGGATTTAAAAAAATCTTTTAATTCTTACCCAAAATTAACAAACGAAATATATTTTAATACCGATTAATAATAGCGATTAAGAAATTAATAAATTAACTCACTTTATGAAATGTTATTTTCTTGATCACAATTTAAAGAAATTTATTCATTCTTAATTTCTCCTCCAACCACAAATTTCAATCACCAATATGAGCTAACTAAATGATATCGACACATGTTTTTAACTATGAGTTTGAATCCCTAATCCCAACTAAAAAACACAAATTTCAATATTTTTATATCTTCCAACTTACCACAATTTAAAGAAATTTATTCGTATAAAAGAATGAAGCCCTCAAAAGTTATGAACCACAATCAACTTAAGCAAGGCCAAGATTTAAATCTACACTCCAATATATTTTTTAAAAAATAAAATAATGGAATGAAATCTAGTTAAAGACTTGAAGGAAGTCAGAGCCAGCAAGAAATTGAAAAATGATATAAGCCTACGCATATTATTATCTATGTAGATATCAGTTAACGAGGAAATTTAGGTGTCAAGCTTGACAAAAGAATGTTTGGCAACTGAATTTCCAAATACATAAAAACTTCCAAAGAATACAAAAACTTCTTCAAACGGACAAACTCACAGCATCTTACAAAGAGGGATTCTTCCCAGATTGATTATCGGAGGTTGAGGCCAATCAAAAGTCTGATTTCAAGAACATGAAGCGCACCTCGAAAACGACGTACCAAGATGGGCAGATTCCTTAACCCAAAATGTTCTTGTCCAGAATTGTTTCAGTCATACACTAATTTCTTTAATGAACCAGCCAACCCAAGGCACTGCAATGAACAAAGAAATTCTACAGAAGGGAGTTCAGTTAACGACCTGGAGGAGGAGGAGCAGCAGCAGCAACATTGCCAAGTCCCATCTTCTGCCCCAACAGCGAAAGCTGCTCCACAAACTCCGCTCCGGTGAGGATTTCGGTGCTACCATATATTATGTGCTTCACTGGCTGCTGATTCGTTGCCAGCTCTTGCAAGCTACCGTACTCGACGTAGTTGCCCCCTCCAATCATGAACACAATTGCTTCCTTGAATGGTCCTTTCAAATGGCTGCTACTCATTCCAGAACTTGACTTTGGAGCACGAGGATCGAACACAAGGAAAGTATCAATTTCGGGGTTCGGTTTTCCTTCCATCAACCCCTCTACCGTCCTGGTCAGCGCAAGCTGCCTATCACTAGACAAGAGATTTTTAACACCAGCAGTCACTGCACTAATTGACTGTCCGTAGAGTTTTTCAGCCCAATCCACAATGTTGCTTCTGCTAGCTGAATTTGCTGATGGGAATGAGACATTCAATGACTTAATCTTCTTAACATATTGAAATGCACTAGTATCAACCTCTGATTCCCTCAGAGCAGCTTCCACAGCCTCCACTTCAGATTGGTTTATACTTTCAGAAGAGATCAGATATATAACAGCAAACCGGAGCTTATCCGTCTTAGTACCCTTCCCTTTAAGCACACTCAAGAGTTCATTCCGATCGATACCTCCTCTGGCCATCATGTCGTTCTCCTTCTTAGCATAAGAATCAAGAGACCTCTCCTTGATTTCACCCAACAGTACAGTAGCAATATTTGTATGTTTATCAATAATTTGCTTCCTTTCAGTCAATTCTGGCAATGAGTTCACTGCATTCATTAAATGTTTTGTGTTCCCAATCAAATCTGTTCCATCAAATTCAGCTCCATCAGTCCCACCAGTTCTTCTATTCACCTCATCAACATCCTTCTTATACTTATTCAATTGAGTTTCAATCTCCACTGCAACTTCTGGAAACTCCAAAGACCCATTAGCCACCCAAAATGGGTCTGAACTATCTAATTCATACGACTTCATCCCACCTTTTTCACCTTGCACACTCAATCTATTCAGCTTCAATCCTAGAATATCATGAACTAATGGTCTGTACCTAAAATCATGTTGTATTCCTACAGATAACTCAAAATTTCGATCAAAAAGACACAGAATCGGACGCTGGAAGGAGCTAGCAAAGCCCCCACCCTCTGTAAACAAATTGTTCTTCGACAACAAGTGATCTCTCAACCTCTGATCCAATGCCGAGGCAACCATTTCCGCTGGCCCGCCTCGTGGGCATCGAATAACAGGCACCACAGCAAGCGTAGCCAAAACGCTGAACAATCCACTCACGATTCTCTCTATAATCTCCTCAATTTCACGATCTCCAGCCGAGGGATCGTTCAATTGTACATGTATACTCTTCTGTGCCAACGAAAACAAATTATCTTCCAATGTAACGAACTCCAAATACTGATCGTGCACCTTCGCGATCCGCTGAACCGATTCCGAATTCAGCGTCCCAGATGCTAGATCCTCAAGAAGAGGACGAGGAATAGAAGAAGAGAAGTTTAGGTAAAAGCTATCGTAGAGGAAACGGGAAGCATCAGCAACAATCCTATCGATGTTGATCTTACTCGGTTGGACGAAATAGACCGCAGGCACATCGTGAACGGGCTTTCGATCCTTGTCGATGAGAAAATAAAGGGTGACACCATGTTTGCGGAGGTCCTTAACATGAATCAAAGGCGACAGTATATTCTGGCAAAATCTGTCGAAGATCAAGATCTTGTAAACCTCTTCGTTCGCGGTCGACGTCGAGTTCACCGGCTGGTTCAAATTCAACATCCGGATTATACATTCTGCAATCACAAGAAGTTTCGATCTAACTCCCTAACAAATCTCACTTCAAAACATTAATGTAGCGCCAATTTTGTTCCGATCCCTCGTCAAAACTGGGATCTAGAGAGAGAGAGAGAGAGAGAGAGAGAGGTACCTGTTTGCTTCTGGCGAAGATTCAGAGCCATGGCGACTCGAAGCCCCGTGAAATTTAGTCCCCTTGTTTTGCAGAGGGAATCGAAAGCTTCGAATTTGGGAAGATTCGCTCCGTCAATTTGTCGAATCGAATTGTCGAAATAGGACGGTGGGTTGGGGAAGGAGGAGGTATCTGAATATATAATTCTCTACGGGCGCTTATTGTTTACTCTATCCTAATAACAAATCACCTTTCGCCACGACATGAACATTGACCTGGCCCGTTGACTGTGTAAACGTGGAGGCTTCTCATTGGCTGGTCGACTGTCCATAAAATCCTAATACACAGAAGCCATTAAAAATAGTAGCGGTACACTCAGAAGAGAAGAGAAGCAGAGGGGGAGTCTGAAGAATGCCAACGGCGTCGTTTCTACGCAATCGATACTGGGTTCTCAGGCATGGCAAGAGCATCCCCAATGAGAAGGGCCTCATTGTTTCTTCTATAGTCTGTGACCATTTTTTTTCCCTTTTTACTCTCTGTTTTATCTGTTTTTTCAATGGCGTTTTTCCTGGGTTTTTGTGTGATTCTTATTTTCTGTGGAGAATTTTCTCAGAATCGAAGTTTTGGATTGTTCTGAAGAATACGTTTCAAATGGGGAGATCCTTTTGGCCATTTTTCTGTTGCAGATATTTGAGGGTTTTCAGGCAGCCATTTGTGTGGTTGAGCATTGTCTCAGCACTGCTCTTTTCGTCTTGTTTTCGTTACCAACAAAAATACTCTGTTTTCTACTCTCTTCATGTGTGTGATGAATTGGGTTGTTCAGAAATGCTGATTTTAGGCTTCAAATCGTGGTGGTTTTCAATTTTCAACTTGAATTTAAGGGTCTGTGCTAGCGATCTGACATGTTTTTGGAGGTTTCTGTGAGTGTGTCGGTTGATTGAGAAGAAAAATGAAGAACAGGTTATTGACTGAGAGTTTGATTCCGCTGTAGGAAAATGGTACCCTCCCAGAGTATCAATTGGCAACTGAGGGTGTTGGACAGGCGCAGTTGGCTGGAGAACAGTTCTTAAAGGTACTTTATTTGGTCCTTAATCCATGATTTCTCAAGCTTAGAGATTGTGTAGTTTGTTCTCAGATTGTGCAAATGAAATCAAGTACCTGTATTTGGTTCATAAGTTTGTGATTTGTGAAAGTTAATATGTTATCCAAAAAGTTTATGTAATCATAGACAAAACGAATGTAACAAGTATAGGCTCGGTTTTTACGACCTTATTTGAATAGGATATGTTCTATAGGTTGTATCTCTGTGTCCTTGAGTTCTAAGTATGACTCGGCTTTTTATTTCTGAGTTACGCAAGTCTAATTAGTGAGCCAATCATCATGTAGATTCTCTTTTTCTCCAAAATAAGACGAGATTGTTATTATTTTGAAAATCACCCAAGTTTGATAATTGTGATGTCAATACGTATAGTGACACTAAGTTTTATAGCAAAAAATAAGAAACCGTTGTGAATATTGGGGGCTTCCCTGAATTCTGACTTCTTGGCTTAGACAAGAAAGGGTAATATCATGTAATCATTTTCATCAGGAATTAAGGGAAGTAAAGTAAGAAATGTATTACTTTTTAGCTTTCATTAGAAGAAGTCATGAAGGCCTTGTTCTCTTCAGATAATCTAACTTTCTAATGATGTGACTTGTTTATACTCCATGAACTATCATCTCGACCAATTTCGGGACGATCTTGATCTATCTTGCATTGTTTCTATCAATTTTGAGATGTATGTACTCTCGCATCTTAGTCGATCTTGAACGGTCTTTGTCGGTCTCGATAATGAAAGTGACAATGCATCTTAGATTCACTCGTTTTATTGGAAAAGCCATATTGCACATGCAGGAGTTGAAGGAAAATTCGATATCGCTCGAAAATGTTCGAATATGCTACTCGCCATTCTCAAGAACAATTCATACAGCTAAAGTTGCTGCATCTGCATTGAATATTCCATTTGAAGGCCCTCAGTGTAAGGTAAAAAACTGTTTTCTTTCGTACACTTTTCTGATTCAATATAATCTTCTTCTTCCAGCTGATCATCAGATAAAACTTTTGATTTTCAGATGGTGGAAGATCTCAGGGAACGCTACTTTGGCCCTTCATTTGAACTTATGTCCCATGATAAAGTAAGATAACAATTCCTATTTCCTAGTTATTTATTGTGGTTTTTGCTTGCATGAAAAAGCCATACTGCTCTTGAGCCAAATTGGTACCTATTATTTAAAAAAAAGTTTCAATTTAGTAACTACGTTGTCACATTTATCAATTATGTACTTTTTATTAGTTAATCTTAAAATTCGTTAATTATAAGCTTACCTGAGATGATACTCAGCAAGTTAGCAAGTTGGCATAAATTAGAATAAGAATTAGGTCACTCGAGAAGGCAAAATTTTAACTCCTCCAAATCTCTAAAATAATTGATAGAAATTTCAAATTATTTCTCGTTTAGGCGGCCTACTTTCTCTTTTGAATGTCTGCCAATTATGTAATATTATTATAAGCGAATTTACGAATGGAGAAGTATAATTAAAAATGTTAAAATTCAAGAGACTAAATGAAAAACTTTTAAAGAATAGGAACTAAATTAAAAAAAAAAAAAACTCCTAAACATATATTTAGCATTATCTTTAGAATATAGCATACAAATGGGGTGGGAGGACGAACATTCGACCTTTAGAGAAGGTTACTAATGTTTTTTTAACGATCGAACATTGATGTTGGCCGAAAATGAGTGAAGATAATAGAACTTTTTTAATGCCATTTGAGCTTAGGGCTTGTTGAATTTGTGTTTGTTTGTGTTGGTTCGTGTGACAGTATGCAGATATCTGGGCTCTTGATGAGGAGGATCCATTCAAGCGGCCTGAAGAAGGTGGAGAAAGCGTTGAAGATGTTGCTTCAAGACTTGCCAAAGCAATTCTTCAAATTGAGTCTCAATTTCAAGGGTATAAATCATAATATCATATTTATCCTCATTTTACCTCGAAATATTTGTCCAAACACTTACGGGTACTATATATTAAATTAAATATGTTCTAATTTAAATGTTTAATCCCATTTTGATATGAACATTAATATATATACTCATTCTACATTATTTTTGACTAAAATGAGATTTAAACCCAATAATTTACGTATTGCAGATGTGCCATCTTGATCGTGAGCCATGGGGACCCCCTGCAAATCTTTCAGACAGTGGTGGGAGCTGCGAAGCAAGAAGATGAATCGAGTTCCGATGAACTGGAATCAAAATTACAAGCTGTAATCACCAAGTCCGTTCTCTCGCAGCACCGGAAATTTGCGCTGCTCACCGGAGAGCTTCGAGCAGTCCTGTGAATTCCGGCAAGTTCTCCCCGGACTTGTTGAAGAAGACGAGTTCAAGAATTGGCATTTTTTTCTTCTCCTTTGGAATGAAAATTTTAGGGAAAAATACCCTTTTCGTCCTGAAATTTGAACTTTTCTAAAGTTGAAAACGTGCACTCTTAGTCCCTCGTGGTAGATGTGAAACGAAGGGGCGTTCGTTTCAGATCGCGAACATCTTGGGCGAGGGGAGGCGACGCGGTAACGGATTGCGGCAGTGGAGTCGTCGAGGGGAGGTGGAGATACTGTTGACGCCGGCGCCAGCGAGTTTGGCTGGAAGAGAAAAGATGACCCCCTTATATGTCTAATCATAAAAAATATATATATATAATTAATATAATCAACTAATCCAGCAAATTCATTTAACAAACAATTAGCACAGAGTGTATTTTTTCCAAAATTTTCTAAATGCGCAAGCCCAAGACAGAGTTCATCGAATTGGGCAATATAAACCTACGAGGTGTTGTATTTTGATATTAAAAAGAATGTCATTTTCTCACTATATATGTTTCATTAACAGAATTATTAAATTCGTAATTGAAAGTTTTATTGAGGATCAGATTGAAGCTGCAAAATAATATGGAGAATAGTTCATCTCAATTTTTTATTAAATCATCTTAGTACGTACTACTCATGTTTAAAACCTTGATTAGCATTCATATGACACATTTAAATAATAATAAAAGTTATTTTCCTCTCATTCACACCCATAGATGATTTATTATTTGTTAGTGTACCTTCTCCAACTCTAAATTTAACTTAAGTAATTTTAAAAATATAAGTAAAATATTACTTTAAAAACCAATCTTTTATTACAAATATAGACAACAAATGCATGAGAGTCACTCTCGTGATGCTGACTGTATATCCAATAATAGAGATTCTATTACTATTATTGCTCATCTCTAAAACATATTTGTCTTATTATAGATCTAAAGATTGCTCCAGATTGCATAGAGAGATGAATAGTTTCTTCAAATTATAATACCATATTCTTCTAGAAAAAAATAATAAAAATGTCCGAAATATATATAATAACAAGGTGAGAGATTAAGAATGCATTTGGTTACTGATATGAAAACAAAAATCTGAAAACTGATTCAATGAGAATATAGTTGTTCCAAACAAAAATCTGAAAATCGATTCAATGAGAATATAGTTGTTTTTAGTGTTATATGTGTTTGGTTGTCGATTTGGAAATTGAATCTCGTTTCAATAGTATATTTGTAAAATAGTGATATAACCATTAAATATTCAGTTAAATCTAAAATAATATGAATTTATTTATTAATATATATAATAAATATTGTATAATTATTATTTTACAATATTTTATAATATAGTATATATTATATTTTACATTTTTTTGGTGTAACAAAAATGAAAAGAGTTTATAATATGATCTAATATATTTATCAAAGTTTTTATTTTTATTTTTTGGATGTAATCCTACCTTTTAAAGTTTCAAATTTAGGATTTAAAAATATGAAAAACATAAAAATGTTGTTTTCAAAATTTGTACGATCACATAATTCAAAAACAGTTTTCGAAAACAAGTCTTTCAAACATGTATTCACTGGATTCAGTGAATCAGAAAATAAGAAACAGAATCCAGATTTCCTACCAAATAGACTTTAATCTTCCACAAATATGTGGATTGAGAATTTGATCCATGGCTTTGCAAATTATTATTTAAGTATGAAATTGAGTAAAGTTCACCATGGGCTAGTCAAGTCGTGTTTTAAAAAATTATTGGTTTAAATACTATTTTAGTCATGTAATTTTATTTTTAGTTCATTTTGGCTTTTACAATTTCAAAATATTCATTTTAGTCTTGTACTTTAAAATTGTATTCATTTTAATTAGTATACTTCAAAACGTATGTTATGGTCCTTGCACTTTTAAAAGTTACCAATTTAGTCTCTATTTGGAATAATTTAATAAAAATTTATATATTTAAAAAAAAACTTAGTGAGTGAAGTGTAATACTAAAATTATGATTGATAAAATAGATAAAATTAAAAATAAATAGATCAAAATAGTTACTTTTTAAAAGTATAGAGACTGAAATAGATGTTTCAAAACTATATCGACTAGAATAAACAAAATTTGAAAATACATTATCAAAATAAAATGTTTTAAAAGTATAAAAATAAAAAATAAACCAATGTAAAAATATGTAGATCAAAATCATTTAAATGTGAATTTTTTTCGAGTACAACATGTCTGAGGATTCAAAAATATTATTTCGACATTTTTTCGAAAATAAATCTCTTAATTCGTTGAACTGTATTAAATATTAAATAGGTTTGTCTAATCCGTGTTAAAAATAATAATAAAATAAATGTACGAAGTTCCAAACAATGCCTTAGCTGGAAACGACAAAAATACTGTGGCAGTCACGTGAGTACTCTCAAACAATATCTTGTCTCGTTAGTCGTCACTACTCACTTCTACTTAATTTATTATTATTATTATTCTTTTTTTGAAAAGGTCACTTAATATTGTATAAATATATGTATTTTATTTAATATTATTTATGAATTCGACTTCGAGATTAATTAATTTCATAATATCATTAATAATTGACCTTTCACAATATCGCAAAAATTTTGACAAAAGTACCCAACAAGAAAAAGTTCAAAAATAACGAAATATTTATTTTCCGATTTAAATTTTTGTTACAAATTTTTTACTTTTATATTGTTTAAAAAATATTCATATATCTTATGGATATTTCTATTGATGTTCATCTTTATCGATATTTAAAACAGTAATTACTGGTATAACATAATTGTTGTCAGAGGAATTTTATTAATATTTACCTTCTTTTTTTTAGCAGTGGAGAGGTTCAAATTCATGATCCCTTTACTCCTATTTTCCTTTACTCTGATTACTAACTTGAGGGTTGGAGCGTATTAGGCGGGACACCACATCGATATCGAGTTTTCTGGTTGCAACTTCATTCGTTCTTTGACAAACACATTCATCCGAAGGACATGTAGACCTCTCCAAAATTTGCTGTCTAACACTGCATAATTGTGTTATCATTTGCGCCATTTTGATCGAATAAGCTGGAAAAAAAATTCTAGTTCTACTAAAAAAGGTGAAAAAAAATATTTAAGAACTATTACAAATATGATAGAAAGGCATAATGCATGCTCTCTTAAAAAATAATAACAAAAAAAATAAAAAAAGCATAATGCACGCTAATCTGATTAATATATACTATAAGTACCAAAGTTTGAATATAATTAAATAATACTGATTTATTATATTATTTATAAGATTGATACTGGCATGAGTTTAGCTCATGTAATTGACATACTTCTCTAACCAAGAGATTATGAATTCCTTCTCCTTTATAAAAATTTAGCATTTAATAACAAAATTTAGTAATAATGTTCCTAAAGTGATTTTCCTCTAATTCACACCCATATATTGATTTATTATTATTGTTTGTTACTATGGCTTTTTTAGACTTTATATTTAAGTGAAGAAAAAAAAATGCAAATGCATGACTGTGACTCTGATGATTATGTCTAATTATAGATATTGTATTACTATTATGTTGATCTTTAAAAATATATTTATCTAATTGTAATTTATAGATCAAAAAATTGCTCTAGAGATTAATACTGAGTTTAGCTCAACGATATTTAGCACTCATCTCTAATTATGAGTTCAAATCCTCCAATTCACTTATTGTACTTCAAAAAAAATAGTTTCTTATAATTATGACATCATGTCTATTTGGTGGAGTCGCGTTCTAAAAAATTATTGATTTAAATACTAATTTTATTCACTTTTAAAATTTTCTCGAAAACTTATAAATTTTCATCTCTCTTTGATTTACTACCTATTTGACAACTATTTTACTATCTGTTTATTTGATAATTTAGATTTTGCATGATTTGAAATCTTACCGGATTTCAAATAATAAAAAAAAATCGGATTAAAGTGGTTGAATTTTGCATGATTTCATACAATTTCAAGATATATTTAATCTCGCCATATTTTAATTTCTAATTAATAAATTTAGATTAAAAACTCATCTGTTTTATTTTAATTTAATTTCCAATCCAAACAAAGAATTTCAAATATTTCAAATCACAATCGCCAACCAATTTTAACACGTAATTAAAATATTTTAAAACATAAATTGAAAATTTTTATAATCACGATTGACAAAAACGGAAGGCATGGGGGCAGAGTTGCCATTTACAGAGAAACAGAGGGGAGGGAGAGGGAGAGAGAGAAGGGGGAGAATGGAAGCGAAGAAAGTAGCGATAATCGGCGCCGGAGTAAGCGGGCTAGCGGCCTGCAAATTCACGCTGTCGAAGGGGCTGATTCCGGTTGTTTTGGAGGCGAGGGGCGGCATTGGCGGCGTCTGGACGGAGACTCTGGAGACGACGGCGCTGCAGACGCCAAGAGAATCGTACCAGTTCTCTGATTTCCCCTGGCCCAAATCGGTCACCGACGACTTTCCCGACCACAATCAAGTCATGGATTACCTCAGATCTTACGCCGACCACTTCGGATTGATGAAGCACATCAGATTCAACTCCAAAGTTCTCAGTATTGAATACGACGGCTGCTCCGACGACGAGATTCAAGCCTGGACTCTGTGGGCCGGCACCGGCCACGCCTTCGGTGACGCTCGCAAGTGGAGGCTCCAACTTCAGGATACTCTCACTAATCTTCCACTCCAGGTGACATTATCATTGCCCTCTCCCAAAAATTACACCATCTTCTTTTTTTTTTTTTTTTGCTTGATAAGTAATTTCTTTAATGATGTCTATCACTATCCTTCCTAAAATAAGCCAATGGCCGTTGAAATTTACAAGTACGATAGAAGTATGCTGAAGATATCTTTTTTGCGTTTATTTCAAAAAAACAGAAAGTAGTTGCAGCTGAACTCAACACGTCTGTTTTCCACTAAACGATTGTGAGTAAAATTTTTTATTATCCTAAAAATTGGCCTAATCTATCAATTTTCCTGTAGATTAACCTAAGTCTTTGAGTTCAATAATAATTTAATTCCAAATATAAAAATGAAATGACATTTATTTAATAATGAATTGTTATTATAGTTGTTTAGTTAGACCCCATTCATGCAAAGTTGCTAAACATTTGGGTTTTACAAATGGAAGTATTTAGACATCTGGTTAATATTAATTAAAAAAAATGTAAAAGAATATTCAAAATATAGACACAAACATTCGTTTTTATGGCTTTTTTTTTCATAATTTTTTCAAGAAGCATTGATATCATCGATGTTTACTTTCCATCATTTTTATGAAATCGAGATCTCTGACCTTGTTAACATGACATGAATAAAAGCATATTACACGTGGCTTATTTAAGTTAACTAAATTCTATTATTGATTGAATGATATAATATATATTTTAAAAATTATATATCTAGATTCTAATGTTATGGTCCTTTTTTTTATAATTTAATATTATTGTTGTTGCTATTTATTTTGTTAATATTATTTTTTTGGACTCCAAAATCCTGACACAATCTTATCAACTTTGTCTTTACCTTTGTGTTGTTTGTTCTCTCTTGTTTTTTCTTTTCCAAGAATATATTAAACAAGTAATTTAATTTATTAAAAAAAAAGGAAAAAAGCTAACCGCATAAATCTGGGGTTGTGATTTTAGCTTGGCCCATCTTGATAATGATATATTTTTTTTAATTATATAGAGACTCCTTCAAATAGTTTTTATTTATTTATTTATTTTTTGTTAGTAGAAATAGCTTTTATTTTTCTTGTTGGCTTGTGTGTAAAGAATCCAGACAATAATGGGTAAAACTCTGTTTTGGAGAATTCAGGGATGGTGGACCTAGGTGGATATGTAGTTTTTTTTTTTAATTATTTCTTTAACTTCTTGTACAATGTTTTTATCCCACATGTTTTTTTTCTAGTACAATCCTGGAAGGTTTGTAGTTTTTTTAGTACAACAAATTTGATATAGAGATTTGAAATTCCGATCTCAATAGAAGAAGTAGGTGTCAATTAGTGTCGAGCAGGTTGACATGTAGATTTTTATAGAATTTTCTTCATTGTATCTTATAATTATAAAAACAAAAACGACACTCACCTTCTTTAATTTAATAAGTAAATGTTATATGTTTTTTTCAAGAATATGTTTTTTAAAGTTTAGCGGTAATTGTCATAAATCTTCAACTAAGAAGTTTAAGTTCGAATTCTCACCCACATGTTGTACTAAAAAAAAGTTTTAGAATTAAAAAAATATACTATATAACCAAAAATTACAAGTAAACATAATTATTTTAAAAAGATGAAAAATAAAAAAACAAAATATCAAGGGCTTGTTTGGTATCAATTTTCTTTTTTAAAATCATATTTCTTAAGCAACCTTTTTTAATAAAAAATTGTAATCTATTTTTAAAAGCATTTTAAAAATCATGGTCATATTTGTAAAATAAAAATTGTATTTTTGAAAATTTTTATTTAACCAAGTTGTCAAAACTGTATTTAAAAAAATGATAACCCAAACATCGATAACAAATTCCCAAATAATGTTCGTAAGCTTCGTTATCAAAAATAAAATCAATAAAATTTATCTTACATTTGTAAGGACTTGTTTTTTTTATAGAATGAGATTGAACTTGAACATTTTACCGTACCTAAGATACCTTAACCAGCTATGTTCATATTAGTGGTTGTAAATAAAATTTAAAGTGATTAAGACTAAGTTTTTTTCCATAGGTGATTAAAATGAGGTCTAAATCCTAATTCGTTCTTTAAACTGATTTATTTGCTAACATGGGATTATAATTTTGTAGTTAAGAATATCTAATTGATCTAAGAGTTTTGCATTTGAGGTTTTTTATAGTCTAACTTTCAAAAAATTGAAAATAATTATTTTGTAGTTACTTCTCCACATTTTAAAATTTCTATTTTAGTCCCTTAGTTTTTTCTTTTTTTTTTAATAACATTTTGGTTATAATATTCATCTAAGCAATACTTTTTTTCCTTTGAGTTTTGAGTACGCCCAAGCAATACTTATTTCATATTTCTCATGCAATTCTCGCAACTTTGCCATGTGTCCATCATAATACATTAAAATACTACGGGATGTTATCTAGTTCAATAACTAAAATAAAAATTTTGAAAGTTAGTGAATAAGAATGTGTCTCACTTTTATCATTACCAAAATCATTTTTTTTGACAAATTAAAAAATTGATTTATGTAAGATTAAAATAATTTAAAATTGATTTTTAAGAATTTGGACGGTACTAATTCATTTTTTCTAAAATCTCACTCTCAAACATACTATAATAAAAATATTTTAACAGAAGAGAAAATCAAGATAAAATTTTTTAATTGCTCTAATTTTTCTTTTAGTATATCAAGATGGGAGTGGAACTCGCAACAACTTTAAAAGGAGTAAGCGTCAGTTGAGATAAAATTAAACTACAGTTTTTAAGAAACTTAACGGGTGTATGCCTTGAATTTGAATATATGCTATAGGATGAGCTTAAGTAACAATGGAGTTGATTTGATTTGTAGGAGATAGTGGTGGACTTCGTGATTCTGTGCATTGGAAGATTCAGCGACGTTCCGTACATCCCCAAATTCCCTCCAAATGGTGGCCCCGAAGCCTTCAAAGCCGGAAAAGTTCTTCACTCTCTGGAATATGCCGCCATGGATTTCAACTCTGCTTCCGACCTCATCAAGGACAAGCAAATCACCGTCGTCGGTTTCCAGAAGTCCGCTCTCGACCTCGCCATGGAATGCGCCAATGCCAATGGTAACTCAAATTTCTCTTCTGAATCATCCAACGGGTACCCTTTCTCTCAACTTCTTCTTCTGAATCGTTTTGGAATGCGCCAGGGCCGGAGAAACCCTGCACCGTGCTCTACAAGACCAAGCAC